GGTCAGCGCGTTGGTGGAATAGTGAAAGTTACTAAACTGGATGGGTTGGTGACATTTTACGAACGCAACATATGTGTTGCATACACCGATTCCTAATAAAAGTACACTATTATAGAACTACAAAGATGCAATTCAATGCTGTAAACTGGCTCCGGAGCTTCCCGCCATGTTGCGATGTTCTGAAGCGTCATGGAGTGGGCGTGCTCAGATGGTTAAAGGCGTGTTCACTCCAAATTCCAGCTGACCAATAGACGTGTCAGCTGCTAAGGCCCGCCCTCCCGTTAAAACAGTGCCAAAAGTCAGAAGCAAAAAAGCATTCCAAAAGCAAAAAAAAATTGCAGAAGCAAAAAAAAAAAATTCAAAAGCAAAGAAAAGCATTCCAGAAGCAAAACAAATTAAAGAAGAAGGAAAAAAAATATTTTATTCAACTTTTTTGATATTTGGAAAACATATTTTCATTCTGATACTTAATGATTTGCTTGCGGTTTTCAAAATATTGATTAATACTTTTGGCACAAAATTAACTCCATATATTGTGCTCTTGCACAATATTCACGTCGCATTTGTCGGCACTGCTCTGTCTGCTGACACAAGTAGCGACAACACCACCAACTTATTTGACACACACACTCTCTTGGTAGATACTATTTCACTATAGTTTTTGAGTAATTTCATCTTCTTTTTTCTATTATATATATCGCAGTGTTATTCACAGAAATTTCACATATCATGATGTGTTATCGTGCAGCCCTAGTAAGGAGATAGAGAAAGGCCAGGTGACAGAGGAGAGGAAGCAAAATCTCTCATCGTTAAAGACGTTGCCCAACTCCACAAAAGGTATACATTTGTAAAACCCCTCTTTACAAGCCAGACTGTGTGTTATTGCTGCATTCATGTGAGACCCAGCCTGGCAGCCCCACGCTGATGCACCCACATCACCCACTTTAGGGGAGCAGGTTAAACATGCCCCCAGATCTGGTCATGCCCTGCTGCTGTGCAGCTTTATATCCAGTGTTGGGCTTGATTACTCTGTGGGTACATAATTGCCTTATTGCCTAGTACACTCTAACAGATGGCACAGCGCTTTTGCGTGGCTGCCCCTTCTTCCCTCCCTTACCTCCTGCCTCAGATGGCACAGCACTCTTGTGTGGCCGCCCCCTTCTTCCCTCCCCTACCCCCAGCCTCAGATGGTACAGCAGTATTGTGTGGCCACCCCTTTTCCCTCCTTTTCCCCCTGCCTCGGATGACATAGCACTCTCGTGTGCCCGCCCCTTTTTCACTGCCAATCGAGATCGTAGCACATTCACCAAGTGTGAGGTTTTCCTGTCAGTGGCAGCATTCTGCACATACGGGCCTATCGCAGCAGCTGAGGGGAGCCCTCGACTTCACTGGAGTCCCATAGCTGCAGACTATCACTTGCCCTTCTTCCTAGGGCCCCAGCTGTTACTGTGGTGCTGCAGTCTTAGCACTCAAACAGATTTTTGTACTATTGGTAAGCACTGCAGTCTCAATCCCCAGCAATCGGAGCTCTGAACTGCACTGCACTGAACAAGTAACGTTTTATATGAACAAATATATTAGTGTCAACTAATCTTGCTTTACATTCACAACTTGCAAAGATGTTAGTGAGCTAGCTATCTATCAAAATTTAGTTGTTAAAATTAGCAATATAAAATAATCCATACAAATTACCATCAATAATGCAAATATTAACCAGTACAAACGCAAGTACTTGTGAAATAGATCACGCTGTAAAACATTGTTTCATTGGTCAGTCATCAAAATATGGTCATGCACACTTTTAATTGGACAGCGACAATATACTGTTGTATGTATCGTATCATAATGCACTGTGTACCACCCTGACCCTTATATTCTGTTGTGATGTCTGTGAAGGGTGGCTCCCATCTCCAGGGTTAGGTGTTAAATCCCACCCATAGCTCTCGATGTGTGCAGTTTGGTTGTCCTCCACATGTCATATTGGTTTCCTCCCACAGTACAAAGACAATGTGAACTAGGGTCTTTAAATTTCCATTGGTGAATGATTTTGTGTCTGTGTGTGTGTGTGCCAGAGCTGTCATAATTATTCGATTAAACTCAATTATTCGATTCTTTTAAAAACATCGATTAAAATTTTATCCTTCTCTATTACTTGAAAACTTAGTGTAAGTACGACAGTGCATAGCGGATGGGGGTCCAGATAAAGAGCAGAAATACCGCTTTAAAAGCTCTTTAAAACTGAATGAAAATGCAGTCATCTGTCAGTATTGCAAAACAAATACCACCACAGCACAACTGCACTTACAAAGATATCTGGAAAAAAAAATCAGGTTGATGGGCTCGTCCAATGTGAGGTTAGCCGTGGATATGTGCCATTTAGCCTCTTGGACTAGCCTAGCCTGTATGTCAAAAGGATCACTGCTGACATGAAGGTTAGACCCTTCGCTTAGCCACATAATCTTACCTAATAAGCTATATAGTAACCATATATTTTTTTCTAAACAAATAGTGTGTTTTGAATAGAGCTGAACAATACTGGGAACAAATAACATTGCAATTTTTGAAGTTTTTGCTGTATTTAGAAGCTATAGAACTTTTGTACCAGCACAGTCTGTTGAATAAGTTGGTGGCATTACCATGAGTTGTGTTAACCGACAAAAAGCAGTTCTGACAAATCACTTGCTTTTGCTCAGTATTGCTTCTGTGCAATACAAAATATTTCCATACAGGTGAATGTCTTTAATGTTTTTCACCCATTCTTATTCGCTTTTCTCATCTCCAGTCATTTTTGTTTAATTTCAGTCTATGAATGACAATAATTAATAATCGTCTCAGAGAGCACATGCAGGGCTCATGCAAAGCAGCAGTAAACTTTACACTGATTTTTTTTTTACATATCCTAGGTAATGTTGAAAAACAAGCATCATTAAAATTGCAAAACTAAGTTTTGAACCCAGCAGACATGATGCTTGCGTTGTGACGACTGCATGTACATGAAATGCCATGTCGATATTAATATCGCACACCATGCAAGCCTGTTGAGGTCAGCACTGGGCATAGCGGAGTCGCCACACATCACCACTTTGAGTGTATGGAATTTTCTTGTTCGCCCTATGTATGTGTGGCTTTTCGGTGGATCCTTTGGTGTCCTTCCACTGTCCAAAAACATGCAGTTTAAGAGAACTGGAGCGCCTAAATTGGCAGTATGTGTGCCTGAGTGTGCACTAGGGTTGGGCGATATGCCTTAAAATCATTATCACAGTATTTTTCACTTTTTGGACAGGTACGGTATTATATTACAGTATTACTTTTTTCCATGTTTTGGGAGGAGTGGCATGTTCTGCCCATTTAAATTTTAAGGATATATTTTATATGTACACTTTAATCGATATTACAATTGGGTATGGGTGGTCTTTGAAAAGATATAAAAAGTGAGATAAGTAATGTTTTCTCATATTAATTTCATAACGCAAAGTGAATGATAAGCCGTTTCAGCCAAAAACAGTGCAATTTACAGTTCATTTCCAATAAAACAAAGGGTTACCAACTATGTAACTGCACACACATGCACATGCATTTACATGTACGTAACAGTTTTATTACCATGTAAATAGTCTGTAGGGTTTGCAAACTACCCCTTTTAATTATACATACTATATTTACTAATATATATAAAATCCAGTTATTGTTTAATGTGTATAATTAAACACTATCTGTTTTAAATCTGTTTTTCATTTGTTAATGTGCTATCAGGATGCAGCGTCAGGGTATATTTAACATAAAATTCACACATTGCAGATCAACCAGATACATATGCTATTTAAGAACAACTATTCAGATTAAAACTGAAGTTTGGAACAAAATAAAATGCTTTATTTTTATTAATAGGCTGTGGTATAATTGGGCTGTTGACTTCTCGCAGTCTTAACGGTATAGTGCAAATCCATATCATAGCACACAATCACACCGTTAATAACTATGATACCGGTTTACCGCCCCTGGTGTGTACCCTGCTATGGTTATAATATATGGGAATGGGTAAAATATAATATAATATAACATAAACAATTACTTGATGAATCATCAGATTAATCAGTAGATTACTCAATTATTTATATAATTGATAGTAACAGCTCTAGTATGCACCCTGTGGTGGACTGGCATCCTGTGTGGTATAGGCCCATGGCCTGACCCTGACTGTGATATGCAATTGGGAGATGGATGGATGGATAGCTTGAGCAGTGTGGATATCTCTGTAATCCAGTCTGTGATTGGCTGAAGTATAGCATGTGACATTTTGACAGGAGCTGCCAGCAAGCAGCGTGCTGCTGGTCTACCTGTCAGCCACTGGCGTCTTCCCCACAGGCCGCTCCGATTATGAAGGCACCTACCACGGTACGGTGACCCTTATTTCATAAGCATCATGTTTGTTTGTTTTGTAAACTTTATTAAATATTTATTTGATGCATAAATATTTTGGCATCACTTTTAGATTCTCACAGAACTACAATATCCAATTTTCACTTCCGCATTCTGCCCCTGGATACTCTTGGGAGTTCAGAGCAGCCAGAGTGGGCATGTCTGTAACCTTCTGAATCACTGTCAGCCTTCTGACAAGATGAATTTGCCTAAATCTGCCTCTGTGTGTCGGGAATAAAAAATGAGTCCGTCCTCTTTTTCCTAGTTTTCCTGGCCTGGTTCATGAAATCCTGCTACTGTCTGTTCAGTCAAAGCATATAGTGCTTATAGGTTTTTGGTTCCAGGCACCCTGATGTGGTAGGAATGCCCTGGATGCCCCTAATCAATCACTCTGCTTTGCTTACAGTGGACTAACAACCAGCATGCCATTGATTTCTTAGTGTTTAAAGGTGCATCACTTTTCCTTTTATGAATGAACTGGAACATGACTGGGGCTCCAGACAGTAGCTGTCTGCTGTTTAAAAAATACTGACATTGTGCTTTTGGGTTAGGGATCCATAATTAACAAAACATGGCCCTCACAGAGATGGGGTTAGGGTTAGGGATCCATAATTAACAAAACATGGCCCTCACAGAGATAGCTCTGTCTGTGTGTCTGTGTTTGTCTGTGTGTGTGGTTAAATGTCTACATAAGACAAGTAACAGCTGTGATTCTGCTTATGGCAGGGCCGTATGATTTCGGGGGTGTCCTAACCAATACGAACCGGGATGTGGTGAACGGAGAGGCCGTGCAGAAGAGGAACCAGGCCCTGAAGGAGATGCACTGGTGAGGGCAAGGGAGCAGAGCTGCAGTGTGTACATCAGCTTAGCCACACAACATTAACCTGCAAACCCCACAGAAACTATTGTATAAACCACTGGGAGCCATTACAGAGCCCAGGTTGCCTGTCCCTTGAGTGTACTTGTTTTTATGTATATTTTGTATGTGATAAATAGATGAGTTTTTTTTGGAAGGATATGTGTTAAAGTGAGACTGTATCGCCTTCTAAGAGTGTGCATATATGGGCTTGGTGCTGTGCCCATGTCATTGTAGCCTGCACCCCGGAGACCTCTTCCCCTTCACCAGGAAGCCCCTCTTCATCATTGTCGACTCTTCCAACAGCACAGCCTACAAGGTCAGGAGGTCTCTCTTCTATCCACCCCCCCCCCCCCCCCTGCTAACCCGTCTCAGTCTCCCGCTGCCTGCTGGGAAGAAGACTGGCAGACTTTGCTGAGAGGGGCCCAGGAGCGTAGGATTTTAATTAAAGTACACTTTTCAAATGGTGCTAATCGGGTCTGTATTTAGTTTGCTTTGCTAAAGAAGGCGGTTTCGGGCTATGACCAAAGAGTTTATTTGTAACTTGGCTCCCTCTGGTGGCTGGTTTAATACAAAAGGAGTGCAAGAGCTGCTGCAATTAGGAATTAAGTATGCAATTTTTGAGGTGTGAGCAGTCAGGTGCAAAAACAGCCTGTGTTTCATTATGCTTGTTGTCCTCACTGTGGCTCTCATTTTGGGTTTCCCCCCCCAGAATTTCTCGAACCTCTTTGGACAGCCAGTGGTGTGCCTGCTCTCTCCCACAGTGTACCCAAAGAGCATGCAAGGTTGGTTTTGCCCTAATGCAGGAAATCACTTAATTCCAAAGCAATGTGCTGAATGTTTTGTAAATAATACATGCAGTTGTTTCTCAAAATTGTTCTTTGCTGACCACTGTACATGTGGAGTTTGATTGTTCTCCCTTTATGAATGGGTTTCCTCCCTCAGGCTAACTGGCCTCTGTTAGGCTGGCTGGCATCTCTGAAGTTTTTCTGGTCTGATCCCGAAACTAAAATTAAAATTTTGTGTATCCACTGATACCAGTCCAATATTTTGCTAAGTATTAAATGACACATTTGTATGAATACATTTCAATTAACAAGGGAAACTATCTGCATTTAGTGTTGCAGCAGCATTGTTTGAGTATGCTAAGAACAGGAAAATATAATGGTCATGTTGCTCAAGAAATAGCTACCAAAACTCTATAGGAAGAAATCCATAGGCAGTATGATTTACACAGCATGGTTTGATTTATCAGTAACAACTTTAGCAGAAATGAATGGAAATATTTCTTAAAGTGAAAATAGCACAATTAAATAAAATAAAGAAATCAATCATGAAATATCTCTGTATGCCCCAACTAGCCATTCCTGGTCAAAAAGTATGCTTAAATTTCCAGTACAAAATATACAATGGAGAAGGGATGAAACTTTTTAACCAAACTTTAGAAAGAATACAAGTGTGAAAACATCTAGTTTATATAAAATTTACTGTGTTCAGACTCCAACTGAGCACTAGCCTTATTTATATTGTGCTCGGCAATTTTGCTTACTTTTTACTTCAGTTTTACTTCAGAGTAAAGTACAGTAACTGTATTTCCACACAGCCGACATGATGTCTCCGACGCACATGTGTTGCTGAACAACTAGCCATCATGTAGCCTCACTTCTGTTCGTGGTGCATCTCGCTAAAGCTACAAGTATTTTCACAATTTTTCAGGCTATACCTATAATAATAATAATAATAATAATAATAATACATTTTATTTAAAAGGTGCCTTTCTAGCACTCAAGGACACTGCACAATGAAGCATAGAACCATAAAATACAGGGAACATAGAATAAAAGGAGTTTCATAAAAATAATTGTAATAATATTAAGTAAATAAATATAAAAATTATAGAGAAAATGCTAATTTGAAAAGATGGGACTTGAGGGCAGATTAAAAAAGTGAAAGTGAGTTGATGTTTCTGATATCTGGTGGGAGTGAGCTCCAGAGCCGTGGAGCAGAGCGACTGAAGGCCTTGTACCCCATGGTGGTAAGACGGGCAGAGGGAACAGCCAAGTGAATAGAAGAAGATGATCTGAGGGTGCAGGAGGGGGTAGCAATGTGAAGGAGATCATGCAGGTATGGAGGTGCCAGGTTGTGAATGGCCTTGATGGTGATGGAAAATCCCCCCCCAGATTACTACCTTGTCTAATCAGCAGCTCAATTAAGCCTAATTCATTAATAACTTAGCCAAACTATAAACCAGTATCGACAAGGACTTAAATCAATGAGGCAAAGCACCAAGCACAGAAGTACTGAACAGGCATTAATATTTCAGCTATAGACATACTAGATTTAACTGAGCATGAACATACATGTGCGGTATTGTTCTATTCACTGTCCCTTTATGGAGCTGTGACATTAAGCCCATAATACTGTAGGTTCCTAGTTTGTCTGTATCGCTATGTCTAGAAAGGAAGGTGTTATGTGAAGGCTTTTGTGTTCTACCAAATGTAAGAAAAGATGTTTGTAAGCTGTTTTTTCGGGAATTTCTTTGTTTCTTTGGGCTGAGCTCCTGTGTTTGGGGGCCTTTCATTCAGTATTCAGTTGTATATTGTTTTTATTGAGTTATGTGAAAGCGCAGCGTCCCTCGTGAATGTCAGTTTGGTGTGTTCCTCGGTGCCGTCTCAGCCCAGCGCAGCGTCCCTCGTGAATGTCAATTTGGTGTGTTCCTCAGTGCTGTCTCGGGCCCCGTGCTGTATTGCTTGTGAGAGTCGTTGGTTCTGTGTGTTTCTCAGTGCCTTCTCAGCCCCATGCAGCGTCACTCGTGAGTGGCAGCAGTTTGGTGTGTTTCTCAGTGCTGTCTCAGTGCCACACAGCATTCACTTGTGAGTGACATTGGTTCGGTGTGATTATCAGTACCGTCTCAGTCCCACATGGTGTTCGCATGTGAGTGTCATCAGTTCCGTGTGTTTATCAATGCCATTTTCTCAAGTGAGTAGCACAGTATTATGGCCTGACTCCAGCTGCTTTGTGTCTGCGTCTCCTCCCCAGATCAGACGCAGCGAGGCAGCCTCTTCACGCTCTTCTTGTACAGCCCACTGATGGCCTTCCTGTCTGTATGCGGCCTCAGCAGCCTCCGCCAGAGCCTGTGGGAGAAGGCCCAGGATCTGCTGCGCAAGGCGTTCCGTGACATCGGGCAGGCACTTGTGCGCTGCCGCTCCATAGGTACCCCACCTGTGAAGGGCTTACAGGCCACCACACCTCATCTGTTCACTCCAGGAGTCCCTGTCATTTCTTTCTGCCTCTCACGCTGCCTGTACTCTTCCCACAGACCAGGCCTTCCTGCAGTTCTACGGGGACGAGTTCCTGCGGCTGCTCATCATCCGCTTCATGTTTTGCTCGGCCACACTCCGGCTGCACAAGCTTTTCCGGGTAGGTACAGCCCCTTACAGTCTAAACATGCTTTTGAAGGGGACATGAATCCATGCCCTATATCTGCTTGCAAGTAATGCTCAGTTATTGCTCAATACTGGATTAAAAATAAATGTGCAATATAACATTCAAATATGAAAATACTTTAAAAAAATACTAGCACTGGGCTTAAATTGTCCTGAAATGGTGTGATGTTACAACTGATGGCATGTATCTCCATCTGTCCCCAGCAGGAGTCGCGCAGCTTTCCCGAGTCGTACCCGCAGCTGCCCAAGCAGGACACGGTGGAGAGCAGCCTGCTGCAGAAGCATGTGCTGGAGCTCGCGGCCATGCTGGACGTGCAGGACCTCTTCTATGACAGCACGCTGGACACCTACTGACTGGCGCTGTAAAAACATGCACACACTCACAGGCATGTTCACACATGCATGCACACAAACACACACTCACTCACACACACACCGAATGCTGCTTCCTACAAACCAATACACAAGCATTGATTGGATTCAGTAGTTTCATATCTGTGACTTTTCAGTGACTTTTCCACATCCTTCTGCTTGCTAACTGTGAAGAGGTCATGGCAGCTGTCACATTGCTTTGTTCCCGGTACTAAGAGATATGCGCTGATAGAACAGAGTGACGCTGTGGGCTGCACACGTGCCACACAGCCCACATCGCACATGTGTACACACACACACACTTACTTACATACATACATACATACATCACACCTACCAGCAAACAGAGCAGCTCCCTGACTGACAGCAACGTGAACGGAGCCGATGGCCACTGGGACGACATCACTGCCTGCAAGCAACTGCTGAAGTTTACCTCTGAAGTTGCTTGCACAGTTACCCCCAGGCGGACTCCCGTGTTCAGCGGCATCACGGCATGCGCCGTTGGAAAGAGACTGCATCAGATGCACATTCCCACCCGCTTTTTCCAAACATAGTTCTATCCTTGTAACTTTAGAAACATTCACTTTTTACAATGTAAATTAATCATGTTTGTTTAAAAGGTTCTGTTTTTTATTATTATCGATACTGTAGCTTCCCTGCATGCAGAGGTTGGTGTTGCTGTCTCTGTTATCTTCCTGGGGCTGCTGCAGGTTGCCATTGTCGTCCTCTGATCCCCCCTGTCTGCTTTCCAAATGGGTCTTCCGGGAGTGACAGTGTCATGTGTCTGTAGAGGTCAGCCAGTTGAGCTTGTTGGCCACGCATGTGTCTCCATAGGCAGGCCTGGCAGAGGACATGCATGATGCACAGCTTCGCAGTGTATCAGTAGAGCTTTATGCACAAAGGTCTTCCATTGGTCAGATCGTCCCCCTTAAACCTGCACATCAGTCTGTGGCGTGCAGCCTGTTTAGTGTGTTATACTGTCTGTACTCCAGCATTTCACAGCCACATTGCCAAGTCCCCAGAATTGGCATGGTCCTTATGGTGAATGGCACCTGTCCCAGAAACGCAGGAGAATGCAAGTGGAGAGGCGAGTGCACATAGATACGTATGATCATGCAAAAGGGAAAAGGGAAGGGAGCTGGCATGGACCCCTCCAAAGCCAGTGCCACTCAGAGGCTGGGGGTGAGCTGCACCCTAGGGTCCGTGCTAACAGCCACTCACATTTATAAATGTATACATATGTATATAAGTGTATAGGTGGTAAACATGTGAGTGGTCTTGTTTTTAGTATGTATGGGATTTTGTCACAGAATCCATTAAAAGACACTTGTTTGGCTCCATGTCCCCTGGAGACATTGCTATTGGACCGTGATACTGTCTGTGCCCCACCCCCTTCTGTTTTGTCAGCTGAGCCTGGCCCTGCCTACATTCCAAGGACAAGAAGGGCGAGCTGATGGGGTGAGGCTTCCCACTGCCCTCCCCACCGTGTTAAGGTGGTGACCCTGGAGCACTTTGGGACTGAATCATTCCTCTGTCTCTTCCTGTGACTTTTTAATCTGTTTTATCTGACTGATGATAATAATAATCATAATAATACCTTGCACTTTACTGTATTGAAATATGAGCTCCTTTTGTTTCTTGTGCTGTTGGTATCAGGCATGTTAGTGACCCCCTCTCAGTTGTGCTGTTTCTCATACCCCTCTGCACGTGACTGTACCTTTCACCTTGGGACAAGAATACCCACAAGAATTTTTATACAGTCTTAATGCACAGAAGCTGCCTGTCCCTGAATCCCTGAATGATGGGCTTATAGGCCACCTTCCAGAAAGTCGCATGATGCACCCCTCTCTGGATTTACAGGATTGGAACAAGTGCTGAGGCATTTATTGCCATTGCAAAAATTATTCTCGAGTCCTGAGTTTGTTTTATGGTATAAAAGATAAGTTGAATCTATAAATGAAATCCCAATGGATTAATCACTGCCAGACTAAAAGGAGCATTCCCTAGAATGCAGCAGCTGGACCCTAACCCTAGGCAGTCTGTGTCGTGGACACCATTGCTCAGTGCCATTTACAGGTGGAGCTTCACCGCGTCCTTGAATGGTGCCAGGCTGGCCTCCGTCTGTGGGCTCTGCATCCATTCCTTCTCAAAATGGTCACTGCTTAGTTGTTTGTCCAGTGATTGCAGGCTTTGGGAGCTAATAGCACAGATTTAAAGGCCAGAGAAAGAAGCACAGGCATATTTATTTGGAGAGCAACAAGGTACTTATCCTGCAAAAAATAACAGTTTTCCTCCAGGAGACAACAAAGTGATGAAACTGTGGTGCAAGTGATCGCGAAGTACGCATCACACAGCACTTTTCATGTGTGTAAAATGTGCTCATGGAAGTAACATAGCTACCTTTCCTTGATAGCATCTCGTAAAGCGTGAAAAGTGAAAGCGCAGCACTCGAATGCTCCAGGCTGTTTTTTACACCGTAATTTGTAAGCTGATCTAAAATGTTACTCAGTTCGTATGAATGATTTTGTCATGGTTCCTACTGTTGCACGAGGGACTGCTATAAAGGTGACAGTAGTTAGAGAGTATGCTTTATAAGTTCAGGGTTGGTACTAGTTACTAGTTTAACCAGCTTCATTTTGTTATATTACTTAAGATGTTTTGTCCCATTTGTTGCCAAATTATATTATTGTTCATAAAAGAAAAAAATAAACATAAGCATCCCAAAACATGGAGCTTTCTTTAAAAAGTTTTAACTGAATGCTATTTAAGAGTAATAAAAGTGGGACTATGTATTGTTTCCTTTGTACAGAGTTCTTGTGGTCTTTGTTTTATGTTCAGTCAGCGAGGTAGAATCACTGAGAAACATTGACTGCCTGTTAATATCACTCGAATAAAACAAGACCTGGGCAGAACAAGCACAGTGTCTCACTGATTAAAAGAAACTTTGGAAGAGACTTCTAAACCTACAAGGGAAATGTGAACATGTCTGCTGGACTGCAATTGTGATGGCAAGATGGTGGAATACTTGTGTGTATGCAGGACATGTGTGATACAATGAGTGAGAAATGCCTTTCGGGCACTAAAGGACACACCCCACTCCTGCGAGCTTCATTTGGCCTCATGTATAGAAAAGGCTACAGTTGGCATATACAGTTTATGCCTACTGTATCACCATTAAGTCCCAGAGTGAAAATTATCCAGTCATAGCAGACAGCTGCCTTTTTCATGGCTTGCTTTACTTTCAATAGGGTTTATTAACACTAATCTTTGAGTAACTGAGAGTATAGGCCACATTACATGCAAAATGAAACACCACTAATCTAACAAAGCCCATACACCCAAACCCAGCCCATTTCAGTCCTTTCCTCCATTGAATGGCATTGTGAGTGCATCAGAGCAGAAGCTATTAAATCCTATACTTCATTTGGCTGCCCATTCAAGCTACCCACACTGCAGATCCTGTAATATAAAATAATATTACCCACACCACCACTCATAATGAACAGTAATGAATACGTACAACAGTAATTACTCAGGGTATTAAACAGAATAGATCCCAACTGTCAGCCAGTATTTGGTTCCATGGCAAGGTTTTTAGTTCAGCACACACGACAGATGAAAAGCTGATATATCCCTGATACACAAGCCAGTCAAAATGTTCTGCTCCTGCACACAAAGAGAAAAGCAACAATATGACAAGTGCAAAAGGTTTTTGGAACAAAAAGATGTTCTGTCCTACAGCACTCCAGTCAAAAACCTCAAACCCATCAGGAATCTTCTCTCTGAAAATGTCTGTCCCAGGAACTTGAGAGCTGGAGCAGATCTCTCGAGTGAAGTGGGAGATCACTTACATCCATTCTGCAAAGCTGGTTAGATGCTATCCAGTAGATTCAGAGGTAGCATTGTAGCAACAGGTAGCCTCCCAAATACTAACTTACACAAGCAATTTTTTTATAGCTTTTATTTTCAATGTTGAAAAATTACTGAAAAATGACGAATTCTGGTATTATTAGTTGTGTGGTTTAAAAATAAAAATATGAACTTGACAAGGACGTGTCTATTATGTGATGTTCCTGCATCATTTGTTGTTTTGAACACACTTGCAGGATGTGAGTATGCAGGTTACTGGGAATATCACATGCCTATACTGAGCTCTTTGTGTTGGGTAAACTTACATACTTACACAGCAACTTAGAAAGTTGACATTTCTGTCTTCATGATCCATTTTTGACTATATCATCAAATTGACCATATCATAAGACATTTCTGATAGCACTAGTCCCCAAGGCCTCCTTCAGCCAGCCTTATGAATATTGAAGAGTCTCTAGCATCATTTGGCAAGACTAATTGCTTTTCCAGAAGTTGCCTATAGATGGCAGTGCCTTCATTGCAGTTGAGCCTCCATGGGGCTCTATAGACAGACTGCTGTAAACATTTACATTTACATTTACAGCATTTGGCAGA